CGCCCTCGCTCATCGGACGCTGGAACAAGTGGGCCGGGGACGCTGGAATATGTGCAGCCTGTTTCCATTTCTCACACATGTCCAGATTCCAGACCAGTGAGTTTGTTCTGCTTCATTTTGTAGATGATCCCACCCATTACTAACAATCTATTGTACGTATTAATTCTGCATTGCTAGCTTCACGTGAAAGGCATCGGTCTCTAGAACAAGTGCAATTCCTCGTTGAAGTAATTTCAGCACGCAATGGATGCAAGATGTGGTTCTGCTTGCCATATTACCCACTTGAATTGCCTCACCTTCCAGATCAGCAATCATGTAGCCCCAACTTACATCTCTTCTTTGTTATAGTGCCGGAAACCGGCATGGAGAAAGATGCTAGCAGGTCAGGTTAGTGCTGCCGCCGGCCTGCAGAACCTGTTCCCTGCATCGAATTGTTGTTATCCTCGCCCATTACTACACAGCTTGTCAAAATACCAATACACCCTTGGACTAAGTTTTGGGATTAGTTCCGGGCTCACAAAATTTTAGTACCGGTCCACAACTTAAGTCCTCTTAGTAGTTTTTCTTTTTTTACCTTTTAATCATTAGATCTAGATGAATCGACGACTGACATTATTTCCAAGCACTGTAAAATTTTCATGCAAAATTATTAACTATATTGAAAAGTCAGCATCTGGAGAGTTTTGCCTTCCAATATGTTTTGACACAAGCAATTTTAAGCAATATAATCACAAGACTTCTTAGGTGAGTCTAGTAGGAGTTTGATGTGAGTTTTATCTGCATTAATAAGTTGTCACATAGGCAATTTTAATGGCATGATAACATTTTTAGTAGGAGATAGAAGAAGTGAGCTTCATCTGGCACAATACGATTACTATCTCTATACGAATTAAATGTCAATGAAGCACTAGAATGAAATTATGCTTTGAGAATGGATTCTCATCCATATTTCATTTTATTTTACATGATGTGCCATTCATGGCAATGGCGCCATGAAACTCTCCACTAAGAATGGCTTTACTGCGCTTTGGGAGGAGCCGCTGGTTGCATTCTAAAAAAATTGTCAACCGTTGATGATGAAAAAAACAAATTAAATGTCATTAAGGGTGATTTAGTACTTTGAGTTCTTTTCTGTCTCACTATGTCGCAGCCCCCACCTGCAGCTAGGCACTGCCACCACCTCTAGGGTACGGTCACCACTGCCCATGTGTGCTTGCGGTTAGCGTCAAGGACAAGCTCTGTTCGCTTTGTTGAAAAGCTAGGCAGAAAAGTACCGTTCGGTGATTTGTTTTGAGAGGAAAACACTTTTACTTCGCTGAAAAAGTACGGTTGATAAGCCAAGCGAACAAGGCCACGTGAGCCTGTTGACCGTCCGGTTGCCACTCCGGCACCCATGCTCGCTGCCTGCGCAGCCTCTAGTGAGATTCAGAGCTTGGGGATCTCGCCAACCTAGACACGCTCTTCTCTTGCAGGTGAATAGGATCACCGGCGCACGACTATAACATGACACCACGTCGTCCTTCCGTGCCGGCCACTGCTCCTCGGTGGATGCCTCCACATGCCTCGGCACCATCGCAAGCAGCTCTGCTGTTAGGCGCGCTTACCTGTCCTCCTCCCCAACCTCCACCACCTCCTCCCGCGCGTCTCACTGCCTCCTAGGGAACAAGTGTAGTCATCGTTTGGCCTGCTATGCTGCCCCATCGCATGCGGTAGAAGATGGATGGGTGGGTGCCAGTAAGGGGTGGATTAGGCATCACAAGTGACTGCCTCCTCTAAACCCCACCCGCCGAGTATAAACGGGCTGGATTTGTGTCGTTCGTGGGCCTGACTATACCGGCCCATGCCATAAAAACCTCTCATGTGAAATTACCATTATATCCATCAAATTTAATTTGAAACTTGTTCCTGGTCCACTAATTTTGGGTTCGGTCACATCTTAAGTTCCTTTGAATTGGTTCCTCCAAATTTAAATCATTAGACTAGATCTACCCGAATGGATAGCTCTTATTTTTTCCAAGCACTATACAAGTTATCTATAATCACTACTACAGATATGACTTTCACTGTCGGCTGTATCACTGTCGAATTTTAAGAAACCGACAGTGAGAGCAGATCACTGCCAGTTCTTGGCTCAAACCGGCAGTGATAGGACCAACCGACATTGATATTCGAGTCTTTACTGTCGGTTCATATCATTGTCGATTTTAGCCAAGAACCGGCAGTGATATTGGGTCATCACTATCGGTTTTAGCCAATAACTGATACTGAAACTATCACTGTTGGTTCGTGGCTTAAACCGACAGTGATATGCTGCAAGAAAACTTTATAACTTTCTCATATGATGTCCAATTAAGGTGAACTTTATATCAAAGTTGTAGTACTCGACGAGATCTACAACTTTGTAGTTTAGTTTTTTTATTTGAGATCGTTTGGATGTCCAAGCATACACCACAAGATTTTATAGAGTTAATACCAAAGGAGTACCATATGTTCCATAGTCATAATTGAGTGTGGAGTGGTAGTTAATGATCTCGGATGCAGAAGCGTCCAAAACAAAAGTTGTAAATCTCAAAAGGTTATGCAACTTTGTAGTTCACAACTGATGGGTACAGGCCCGATCTTCCGAGAGGTAGCCGGTAAGTTCGATTTGTGGAGATCTCGACGTTGGCGATCCGGCTTCAAATCAGACGCGATTCGAACCCTGCAACCGTTACACCACTGCTCCGTTGGTTATCAACCAAGCACAACTTGATTGACCTCGCCAAGAAGGCTTTTCCCGCAAGTTTAATCAAGAGCACAAGCAAGAAGGTAAAACACTTAATCTGATATTGCAAATATGAATGACACGAATATCAATAGAGGGTTCTAGAACTCAGCCCAAAGGACTAATCGACACAGTGGAGGAGATCAAGAACGGGGCCCTGGATCACTTTGTAAAAGGATTTGTCACCACGATTACAATGAACGATTCAGTTTCTCGATGGAAAACTAAACTCTAAACAAAACCCAATTGTGTAGCAGCGGTGACGGCTGTGTTTATAGTCTAAGACTCGACCTAGGGTTGGGGACGGCCAGGGGTTGGGCTCCCATAACTTGGGCTTAAGGCCCGACACGATACATGGCCAAGTTGGCCCAAATAGGTGACGCAGCACCTTGCCGTGGTCACACAGATTGATCCACGGACCTTCTAGAGCTGGGACCAGATCCAAAACGACGGCGTCGTCGTCCCCTTTCCAACGCATCTAAGAACGGCCCGTTTCGATGTCGTATGAGAAAGTTATGACCGAAACAGTGACGACGTGTCTGCTGAATCCGAGGGCGACGTGGCAGCTGAGTTGGGAACGAATTACAACTTGGGGAAGACCATGGCGTCGGTGTGTCCAGCATGGCGATGTCCTCATCAACAACTTTTTTGTTTGAAGTCGTTATGATGTCCCTCTATTTGATTGGCAAGATTTCATATAAGTCGACACCAACTAATGCCATATGTTCCATAGTCATAACTAAGTGTGTAGTGATATTTAAGGATCTTGGATGAAGAAGCGACCAAAACAAAAGTTATAGATCTAAAAAGTTATGCAACTTTGTAGTTGATAATATTTTCATTTGAAATCATTTATGTAGTGTAAAATACGGTTGAATTTTCTCAAATTTGAAATTGAAATTCTTCAAATGACATTGGATGAAGAAATGACCAAAGCCAAAGTTGTAGTTCTCGAAAAGTTATAAAACTTTATAGTTGATAACTTTTCATTTGAATTTATTTAGGATCCCAAATACTCATTTCAAAATCAGATGAACATAAAATGGCTAGGATGAAAATCTCATTTGGACACAAGCTTCTTAGGGGGTGTTTAGTTCCACCTCCTAAACTTTAGTCGCTGTCCCATCGGATGTTTGGACACATACATGGAGTATTAAATATAGACTAATTATGAAACTAAATGCACAGATTGAGACTACTTTGCGAGACGAATTTATTAAGTCTAATTAGTTCATAATTTGACAAGGTGATGCTACAGTAAACATATGTTAATGATGGATTAATTAGGCTTAATAAAATCGTCTGTAATTTATTTTTTATTAGTATCGGACACCTCATATGACACCCTATGTGACTTCCGATGTGACACCTCTTAAACTTTAGTCCCTGCATCCAAACATCCCCTTACAGGTGGAGTGGTTAGGGGACGAACATGTGAAGCATGAGTTTGGGAGTTCGAGCGTCGGTGGCCGCGAAGCGAGCATTTTTCGTGCGAAAAATCACGTGACTTGTGACTCGCGATGTGACCGTGCGGCTGTCTAGTGGGGTATCTCCCGGTATTAAAAAAATTCCTATTTTTTTAGCCTGTTTTTTGGATTTCCTGAAAACCATATCACTGTCGTTTTTTTAAACTGGTAGTGATAAGCACCCCTCATCATACTGTCAGTTTAAAATCTAGCAGTGATGGAGGGTCTTCAACGGACAGTGATACGAAGAACTGTGGTAGTGAATCTTAATTAATTTTCACCACTAAATGAAGTCAGCACTTGTTCCATGGATTTGGTTCTCGCTTATATCCTTCATCCTGGATGATGAAGCTACTTGTCACCTGCATAGTGTACAGTACATGCCCTAATGAAAGTAATAGTTAGAAACAGAGAATAATATAATAGTATAGTTGTTTGGTCTCTGTATATATAGTACCAGATCTCAGTGTTTTTCCTCCTCGCTTTTCCACCACCAAAAGGACCGGAGGACCATCACTCACCTCATCAGTCATCAGGTACTACTACACACAGCGCTAGCATAATGCTTCAGTCCGATTCGTCCTGGCTCTTCTCGGTTCTTGACAAGCCTCTCTTCGATTCGTCCTAGCTCCTCCCATTTCTGGACATAGCCGCCATCTCCAATTTTAGAAAAACCAAGCACGATATAGGACGGAAACTAATATTTTATTTTGGGCAGCGTTGTACTTACTGGAACAGCGCTAGCGTCTGCTGTTTCTGTTTGCGTTTCCATGGAGCTGGAGCCCTTGTCACCGCCATTGCAAGCGGCAGCGGTGAAGGTTTCGTTGGCCTTGGCGCCGGCGGCAGCACAGGGTGAGAAGCTGGACGAGGTGGTGGCGGCGCCGACGGCGTACATGGCCAACAAGAACAAGAAGCAGGTGCGGCGGCTGTTCCCTTGTCTCTTCTGTGAGAAGAAATTCCTCAAGTCGCAGGCGCTCGGCGGCCACCAGAACGCGCACAAGAGGGAGCGTGCCGCCGCCTGTAACCCCTACGTCTACGGCCCCCAGTTCGTCGCTGATGAAGAACTACTGCCCGAGCCAGACGACACAATCGGCAGCGTTACCAGCAGTACCGCCGCCGCTCCCATGTCCGTCACAATCGGCTCGCATGGTGGCGCAGGCGCGCCAGTCTTCTTCACAGACCGCGTGCTGCTCCCGGCGGAAGCCGGCCCCTGCGCCAGGCGCGGCGGCCACACTGTGGATGTGCTCCACAACCGGCGAGGAGCTTGACCTTGAGCTCCGACTCTAGCAGTCTTAGCTACTAGAGCAGCGACTATCGTGTCCTAGTCGCTCCTTCCTGGTGGACTGCTGCCGACTGCACCATCTGGTTAATCGCTCCCGGTTCTTAGCATCGACACATATGGGTCTTAATTTGTTGTGTGCTTATATTATGGGATAGTATGCTTGCGAATTCCACGTCGAATTGTTAATTAGTACCATTACCGTCCTCAGTCGTCTAGACTCGTGGACGTACGTTCGCTATATATGCTCTGAAATTTCCATATGAATGAATGAACTTCGGTTCCTCTGCAGTACTGTTGGGTTCCTATGCAAAAAATATGTGTTTGAACTTTGAACTCGACAGCTGTGCATAATTAGTTTAAGTGCTGATCACATGCATAGTTCTAATTGGTCCCGGTTCAGTGTGGAGCTCATGCGTATTCTATGTTAGATCAGATCATCTTTCTGCGGCATATGAAAAGTTTATGTTTGAAACAACGGCATATGAAAAGTTGTATCTATCTATATAGTTTTAACATCGACACTGTTTAATTTTACATAAAAGTGAATAAAATTGACTGACGTCCGTAAACAAATATTAGCCTGATCGGCTGCGCTAGTTGCAGCGCTGTTTTGTGTTGCTGCTGCAGGAAAATCTATAGTAGCTACAGTGCCTGAAGAGAAGAGGATGCAGCCACAGCCACAGCCACAACAGGTTCTTCCGCAGAACTACGGTGGTGTTTAAATACAACGAATAAAGTTTAAGCACGTCACATCGAGCTATTATATAAGAGCGTTCGATAGTAATAATAAAAAAAAATTACAGAAATTCTTATTAATGCGCGAGACAAATTTATTAATTCTTATTAATCCGCGAGACAAATTTATTAAGCATAATTAATCCGTCATTAGCATATGTTTACTATATCACCATATTGTCAAATCATGGACTAATTAAGCTTAAAAAATTCGTCTCATAAATTAGTCACAATCTGTGCAATTAGTTTTTTTAAGTCTATATTTAATACTACATATATGTGTCCAAACATCTAATATTATAGAAAATAAACTTTAAGGGAAGAAACTAACCCAGGGCTATGTTTGAAAGACAAGCCGACACGCTATATATGGAAAGGACAGATGATGAATAACATCGTACTGTAGGACGTTGGCCGCATGGGTTTAAAGCAAGTGACAGCCTACATGTGACTGCCTCGGGGGATAGCAAGAGCTTTACGTGCGACTAAATACGACAAAAAAAAAACAGGTGCTTGTTAGATACCCGGGCCCAGTTTTTTTCTTGCACGGAAGTGGTTCGAGCACTTGGCTCGAAATGTTTGGTAGACTAAAACTGTCTTTAACATTGTTTAGAGGTATCATTTAAGTCTGTAAAGTTCTAAAATACATTCTTTTTTCTCTCTGACTAGGTTTAAATGGGTTACCCGATATGCTATATTATGCGGCATGTTGACTTAGCGTTTACATGATCTAACAGATCGGACGCACATGTCGGCAGCACGACTCCACCTTAAAAAAAAATCATATTTTTTCATATGCCCTTGGTTAACGATGAATAAATGTCGACGAGTCCTACAAATTTCTAGTTTAGAGTTTTTTTTCATTTGACAATCTTAAGATGCTAAAAAAAAATATAAAGTTTCAACAGTATATTAATCGTATATCAAGGCTTGTCACTTTAGAAAAATCATAGATTTCTTATATAGTGTCGGATGAATATACTTTGTGTCGGGTTCATAAGCCCGGGGTTCCTCATGGACCTGCTTTTCAGCAAAAACTCGGCCCAGCAGACGATGTTGCGAACAACGCGCAACTCCTGGGCCGGCCCAAATACCTAACGGCAGGCCAGAAGGACGATCCAATCTCCGGTCAGAAGGCCTGGCAAGGAGGAACGACGGCCGAGGAGGAACGAGGCACGCTTCCGACTCCGACCCGCGTCTCCGATCGGGGATGCACCGGACCTCTGCTTACAGCTCTTCTCCAACTGGCGCAGTCGGAGCCGACTGGGACCAACTGACCGGAGACACCCACTCTATGAGGACCCAGGAAACAAGCGGAGCAAGTAAAGACAGGGCACTCAAGTCAACCTCAATACCAAGGACCGTACCCTATATATCTGTAGCACAGTACCAACATGGCATGTCAGAAGGGTGCCTTGCCACCTTCCAGGCATGTCGGAGCCCCAGCAGTGTTATGAGCGCCGACGTTTGCCCTATAGTGTTGTGGGCGCCCTTAACTCCCATACCAGGCGAACACTATAAAACCCCCTACGTGCCTCTGGGCATCAACAGTATGGTAGCGTCGACATCTGCCATACTAGAAGAAGACGACGGAACCTCCCACATGCATCTGAATTAACAGTATTGAGGGCGCCTACAATCACCTTGTACCCGACAGCGTGGGCAACAAGATTTAATAGCATACGTACTCTCTGTCTCTCTCTCGCTTGTAAGGCCGTCCCCTTTATCTATAAAAGGGGATGCGCTCTCTCCCAACAAAGACGATCCATCGATTTGAGAGAACGCCAAGGACTCTCGAACGATTCGAACAACCAACGATCGATTCACCCTCTGTTAGCTTTAGACACTCTAAAGCTACACAGAGCACACGCTCGAATACTTAGCGCACGTAGGAGCTCCCATCACTCTCGGCCCCTCGATCCAGAGTTCGATCGGACCTCTTGCACCCCCTATCTTTCTCCCTCTCGTTTGTAACCCCACAGCAAACTTTGAGCACCTAGGCTGAAGAATAAAGTCACCGACCGACTCAAACTGGACGTAGGGCACGTTGCCTGAACCAGTATAAAGCCTGTGTCATTGAGTGCTAGGCTACATCCGATCACAACGTATGGCAAAACTACAAATATTTACGTTTTGGTCACTTTCTGCACCGACAGTTGGCGCCGTCCGTGGGGAAGACGCCGTACGTTCACGGTTTTTGGTCATCGGATAGCCCACTTTTCCGCGCACCTTCGCCATGGCGGTCTCAAGCGATACGACTCGCTTCGGCTCACTGGAGTTTTCCGCACTCCCACCTGTTGGGATGTGGGTTCCGCCCGTCTTCGAGCCATCCCAGGCCTTCCTCTTTGGAAGCCTGGACTTCGTCACTGACCGGCTCGGCGTGTTGCGCCTCCACGAGGAGGCACTTGTTCCCGCACCCATCGGAGGAGGCGTGTCCTCCGTCGGCTTCGGGACTCCCGACGACTTCAATGGCGAGGTGCCTACGCTTCGTTTTGAGCATACGCTCTGATCAAACCCAGTTGTGAGTAACATACATACTATTATTTACACGTTATTTACTGTCTTTCATCGATTCTCTAGAGGGACCCCGTTGTCCCTGTCGCGATCGTTGTGCGACCGGTTCCCCTATGGCCTCGCGTCCCCCATGAACGCGTACGTCCGGGGGCTCCGAAAGATGCTGGCGCCACTCCCTCTCACATCTGAATTCATGGGGATGGCGGACTATGCTCCCGCCTCTTTTCACAACCTCATGGATGACGATGTTGAAAGCGACAGCTCCAGCATCGCCGACGTCGTGGCACCTAGCCACCCTCTGTCCTGGGAGTGCGCTATGGCGGACGCTCCAAGACAGCCACCGATGGTGGCATAGTCTCTACAGACCCACACCCCTCCAGACCCTCGTGCGGGTGCCCTTGCATGTGCCTAGGAGCATGGCGAGGAGCTACGACAAAGGCGATAGAACCAGCCGGCGCGCTCGGTGCAGCACGCTGCACCCCGTGCGCGGGACCCAGCGAGCGGCGTCTAGGGTCACACCCGCTAGGTCCAGCGCAACATCATCGGCGAGGGGAACGATCTCCCACAGTTGGCTCGGGCTGGTCAGAACATCGTCGTGGCGGCAATGCTTCTGCGTGACCTTCCTGAGCCCATCGACCCACAGGAATAGGCGGTCCACCAAAACCTCTAGGCACTGGTGGAGACCACCGCTGTTCAACAGGCGGAGAGCTCCGCATCGGGACACCGACTCACGGCCTCCCTCCCCGCCAGGAGGGCGGGGACGCACTAGATGTATCGCTCCATCCGCTCGCCACTACAGCCACCAGGCGTGGAACAGGAGGGCGCAGCTGCGCCACAGCTTGACTCGGCACCCGCTCCACACCGACCGCCTGTGCGTGAATGCCTTGAGCCAAACCAAGACGTTCGCAGCATCATCAGCAACCGGCGTCGGGCCCGGCATGATGATGACGTCCATCGGGCAGCGATGAGAGCAGATGACATGGGCTTCGGCCGAACCATCGAGGGGACCGGTGAAACGCACCCCAGGCGTGGTCACCGACCGAAGTCCCAGCCCAGATGGCCCGGGACCATGGCCTTTGGTCGGCGCATCCAGAGAGTGCCGTTCCCACAGCGCTTCCGACCGCCGACCAACATCGCCAAATATATCGGGGAGATGAATCCGGGTATATGGCTTGAAGACTTCCGACTCACCTGCCAAGCCGACGGAGTGGATGATGATCACTTCATCATTCAGTACCTCCGCATCTGCGTGGGGGAACATGTTCGAGCATGGCTCAAATTCCTCCCGCACGACAGCATCCGCGACTGGGCGGACCTCAAGAAGGTCTTCATCGAGAACTTCTAGGGGACGTATGTCCACCATGGGAACTCCTGGGACCTCAAGAGCTGCTAGCAGGAGCCCAACGAGTCCCTACGGGATTACATCTGCAGGTTCTTGAAGTGGTGCAACTCCCTTCCTGATGTCGTTGACACGGACGTCATCAGCGCATTCCTCTCTGGGACAACCTGCGAGTCCCTGATCCACAAGCTTGGCTGTCTGAAACCCCGTACCACCCGTGACTTGCTCGATGTTGCCACGAACCATGCCTCCAGCGAGGAGGTGGTCGGAGCGATCTTCAATGGAGGCCAGGACAAAGGCAAGGCCAAGCGCGAGGATCAAGACGAGGGCCCCTCCACGTAGAGGGGCAAGAAGAACAAGAAGTATCGGCACCGTTAGGCCAACTCCGCGTTAGTCGC